TTTAAGCATGTGATTTATATCATAGTCTATTTGTTATAGACCGATATTGTACATATACCAACTTAGTGTTGTGTGATTACATGAATATAATAATAATAATAATAATAATAATAATAATAATAATAATAATAATAATCTTAATTTTAGTATATTTTTAATTCCATTAATTATTAATTAAAATCAGTACAATCTCTTAAAACTAGACTACATTGATGCTTCAAAGTAATAATATTACTAGTGAAGCTCCACCCATTGCTAAGCCCCACCCCCTAATTAATAAAGGATACAGTGTAGCCCATTATCCTCCAGTATGAGGGGAAATAGAACACAATGAACCCATAATGCATTAGACTCAAGAATAGGACAACACCCCAGGATAATACCTAACAACAATAAACAACAACAATAAACAATAGTAATAAAGAAAACCATGGGCTATAGCCTTTGGTATTTTTTAATTGGGATTTATAATTTTATAATTTTATAATAATTTGGGTATTTTTCAGATTTTTGCTGTTTTTTTAAAATGGTCGTAACTTGAAAAATTGAAGTTGGAATCAGCTCAAACTTTCTACTTAGCATAAGTACATCAATATGTATCAGAAAATGCAATAAAAATTTTAAATTATTTCAGAGTCATTTTTGGAAAAAATCATGGGCTATAGTACAGGGCATTTTTCAAAAATTGGCCAATTTTAAAATGGCTACAACTCAAAAACTTTTAGTCGGAATCAATTCAAATTTGGTGATTTCTTCACAAATATTTGTATCATTAAAGAAAAATACGTTTTCCGTTAAAACGCTAATAAAATTAATATTATGCAATCATTAGTGGGTGTGGTTTCTCACTTGAAGTTAAGTGGGTGCCAGGGACACTCCCACCCGTTCACACGAGGAATGGCAGTTGATATCAAGTCATGTGACCTATCACGTGATCCTCCCTCTACTGACATCATCCAATACCTATAGAATGAGACTCACTATAGACCACACCTTTATTTATCAGTTACCATGCCAACTGATTCAATACGAGTATATACGGTACTGATACGCTAATACACAGACTATAAAGTACCTAAAAGACAATATAAGATCAATAACTGATTGAAAAGATAATAATTATAAAGAAAAACTACCACAAACTATGTTACCTCAAATCTCTAAAGTAATCAGGAGGTGTGGCTAATTAGATTTGTGGGTGGAGCTTATGATTAAGGAAGACGACCCACGCCCTCTTTCAACTGCAGCTGTGCAGCATAATTGGCTTGCACTTTTGGCTGTATCTTTTCATTTCTTTATTTCACAACAATTGATCATTAACAGTGATAGAGGTAAGTATATTATAGTTCATTTTAATTATACTTTACTAATAATTACAAGATGATTGATGTCTCTCAATGGAGAGCAAGTATTGGACTGTGGAACTACTGTCAAGCTGCCTCCAGTAGACCAGCTAATGGCCACCACTCTCACTCATTCAAAGCTGCAGTAGACAGCAAGTCAGGCAGTACTACATCAGGAGAGAAGACATCCAAACTGCCAGCAGCTCTGTCTCTTATTGCTTTACTCCTCCTCCTCTTTCTCTCTCTCTCTTTATTAAGACACATCTTGATGATTCCTCCAACAGGTAAACAACAATTGCAACTTTGTACTTGTATATTTACAGGTATTTTATTATTAGGTAACTGCTACCAAGTACAATGTACTACTGGTGTTACTGTTACTGATACAAATTACCTCCAGTCAGTAGTCTTAGCTGGAGGCAGGAGTTCTAACCTGATTTACAATGATCTCTATTTGATTGTTTGTCTACGTATGCTCCTCCTCTTATCAGGAGATGTTGAACTCAATCCTGGTCCTATGATAGATGATCAACCATCTTGTCTCTTATTTGCAAAGTGTCTTAAACCACTTGTTGACTGGAAACCATTTGCTCTTTGTCTTCCTGGAATAACACAATCTGATGTCAATATAATTGATAAAAAGAAAAGAAATGCTCACCTCATGAAAATGGCTTTACATAAGAGATGGTTACAAGTTAATCCTACAGCATCATGGAGAGATGTCATTAATGCTTTGAAACAATGTAAAGAGAATGAACTAGCTAGAACTATTGAAGACAAAGTGACAGATCCCACAGCTGGAAGAAGTACTAATGATGATATGGAAGTCAGTACCAGTAATGCTAATCCTGGTCCTGTAACAGGTAAACATAACTTCAGTGATAAGTGAAAATTGAATATATACCTTAGGGTAATTGCGCTCTTAGATTTTAGCATTTTTAAGGGGACCCTGATTTAGCGAAATGTAATATTAGCGAAAATAGGAAGAAAAGCAATGATAATAAAACCCCCATTCAATAGCATAACACTTCTCAAGAAGCCCAATCTATACATTTAAGAGCAGAACACTTAACAGGACCACCCTATCTACTGTTATCTTGTTACAGATCTTGCCTATCTTGTGTACTTGTTTACACAAGTACATAATAACTATTATTAGCGAGTGGTTGAATTAGTAGTTTTAAGTACACTCACTAAAAATGCTAAAATTAAGTGTCGCAATTAATACCCACCCTAAGGTAATCTTTTGTAGCTTCAGAAGTTACAATTATTATTAATGAATCCTTTATTATAGACAAAATGCTTAATGTGGCAGCAGTCACAAAAATATTCACTCCTTCTGCTAGCCATTACATGCTAATAGGGAATGGATTGAATGTAAATGTGTCTGATCTGATGCCAATACCAGGAGCAGCAATTAACAATCTTATGATAGTATTCCAGAAGTGGTTTGATGCTGATAGAAATGTCAATTGGGATACATTAATAAAACTGTGTGATGACTTTCCTGATCAACTGGGCAAAGCAAGGTCTAACCTTAGTGAGTTACAGGAGCTGATAAATTAAATATAATGTACTATGAAATAGGATTGATTCAAGATACATCAGTCAGTGATGATCCCTCACTAGCATCTCATTCAGCAAGTAGCTTAAGTACCAGTGCAGGTAACAATTAAATTATTGTTGATGTGCTGTATAATTGCTGCATATGCTGTAATGAAATCATTCTTATTATTAATAGGTGGTCATAACATAACTTCTCCTTTTAGAAGTAAAATAAGTGAAAAGAATGTTTATGCGTCTTTGAATGATTTACGTCTAAAATTTTCAGATTTATTTATAAATTTTGAAACAAAATTTGAAGAAAAATTTAATGATGACAAAAAACTAGCCACTGAAGTATCAAAGTGGCTTACAGCACACATGAAGTGGAAACGTGGCTCAGTAGATAACAGTCTTAAAGATATTCTTGATAAAATTGAACCTTATTATGACTTTATTGATTGTAAACTGTTACTGGACATGAGCAAAAAGTTTCTACAAGATATAACATTCACTGATGCTGACGGAGTAACTTGTAAACTTGTTGACAAATTACAGAGCCATTTGGAGGAAAGTGAGAGGCTCCGTACATCAAGTGCAGTTTCTGCTTTTAGAAATTTTCTCAAAAATTTTTATCCTATTGATAGAAACATGGATAATCTACCTTATATTTGTATGCACCTTCAAAATTGCTGGGATGACATAAGTATTGATGGATTGTATGAACTTATTAAAAAGCTGCTGCCCCGAGAATACAGACAATCAGTCGTGAAGCATATTAGAATAACAAGTAAATGTGTTGTCATCAAGTTACATATTCTTGATTCTACAGCTGATAGTCTAATAGAATATACTGGAGGAAAGTTACAATTTTTGTGTCTCGTTGGTATATTTAGTTTATACATTAATGATCATCCTGTCCTTCAAGAAGATGAGAATATGAACTTCACCTTTGAACTAGCTCTCCTTGAGGCAGTCACAGCTGATAATAATGAAGCAGTAGAGTTTCTTCTTCAACTAGAAACTGTTAATATTGACCATACTAATGAAGAAGGCAAGACAGCACTAATGTTAGCTTGTGAAAGAGGACATGAGGACATTATATACAGTTTACTATCTGCTGGAGCTAATGTTAACATTCGAGACAATAAAGGATGGACTGCACTAATGATAGCAACTACTGATACAATAAAAGGATTAATTGCTACTTATACAAAACCTGATCTCATGTTGCTAAATCAAAGTATGGAAGGAATGATTAATTATCAGTGATCAGTATGGTCAATATATCTTAATAGGTCAGCTTATACCTGATTCATCAGTTGGTGATATATTGTTTCCAGTCCCTGATATAAAAAGTATAATAAATGTTTAATACTCATATCATGTTTTTCTATTATTTTGTGTCTCTAACCTGTTATACTATTTGGTTTTACTTCTCCTCCTTTTATCAGGAGATGTTGAACTCAATCCTGGTCCTATGATTGATGATCAACCTGATATTTTCCTATTACTTCAATGGCTTGAACCACTTGTTGACTGGCAATCATTTGGTCTTCTCTTACCTGGAATAACACAACAAGATATTACAACAATTGAAGACTTTGCAATTGATGCTGAACAAAGCAAAATGGGCCTCTTCTCAAAATGGCTTAAAAAGAATCCTACAGCAACATGGAGAGATGTACTCAATGCATTGACTAAAAGAGAAGAGATTAATTTATTACAAACTATTAATGATCATTTACAAGTACATCAATGTACAGGAGGTATGATCATGTATTTATATATTAATAATTATATTAAATGTATAACAGGTAATACTGATGCTCCTACTAGTACTGTACCAGTAGTATCTACTGTATCATCATCAGTTTCTGTAACTAATAAACCTGTTACTAGTACTACATCAGGTAAACATACACTTAATACAACACTCATTAACTAATACACTACTGCAGGTAATCCAAAGGATATATTAAGGACTCATTCTGATAAATTAGTTCATGCTATTAGTGTGAATCTATGCAATGTAACTGATGCACTCTATGCTGAAGGACTGATACCACAACAAACTAAAGAGGAGGTGCATGTACTAAGAGTAACTAATACTGAAAAATCTAGTAAACTTGTGAATGTCATTGGGCAAGAGTTGGAAGGTTCTCTTAATCCAGAGCAGTATCTTATTGATATATGTCATGTATTAATAAACCAACAACATCGTACACTAACAGATATTGCTACCTCTATATTACACCAGTTAGGTGAGTGTGTGTGTGTGTACATTATCAGTGATCAATATAGTCATTATATCTCAATACATTAGGTCAGTCTATACCTGATAATGTCAGTTCACATACTGTACTACCATCACCAGTTGATGATATATCCAATGCACCAGTTACTAATATAAGAGGTAATAAATTATTTAATGTGTATACATTGTTTTTATGTATTTTGATCAATAGGTCAGTCTGATGTAGCTAAACCCATTAGTTCAATACCTGATGATGTTCAAGGATATGCTGACAATATGAGACAACACTACAAACACCAACCTATTGTTGCTACAGACTGGCCACCAAGAATTGGAGGAAATTTCTTTGGAAGACTAGCACTAGTAGAAAAAAAAGACTCCAGGAAACAAGCAAAATCAGCTTGGCATCTGCTAAGAGGACAAGTTGATGAAATCTTTGAACTGTCTGAAAACAAAGAGATAAGTGTTGAAGATGTCCTCCAACCCACAGATAGTTCTCTGTCTCTCAGAGTAGTAATAGACGGTCCTCCTGGTAT